TTATTTTATTGGGGGCTCGTCCAATTCTTATCACAATCCATACATAAATCCATTGTGTCAAGCACATTTGTATATTTGTTGCCATCATCATTCCTAGGGAGAAAGAGTCTCAGAAACCATAAAGGGAATCACTCTCAATCAGACAAGCAAATATGTTCTGGAGGAAATGTGGCCAGAGAGCTCCTTGGAGACAAGGGTGGCAAGACTTCATCTGACATTCTTTGGGCTCATTGTTAGGAGAGACCAGTCCCTGGAGAAGGACATCCTACTTGGTGAAGTGCAGGGGCAGTAAAGAAGAGAAAGGTCTTCAACAAAGTGGATTGACACAGTGGCTGCAGCAACCGGCTCAGGCATGGAAATGATGGTGAGGATGGTGCAGGACCCACTGGTGTTTCCTTTGGCTGGGCAGAGGGTCACTAAGGGGCAGCACCAACACAATGGCACCAAACAACAACAGCGCCCATCAGAGTCAACTCAAAAGTGGGGGCTCTTGGTCAACTCAATATGCTACATGCTTTACTGACTTTGTAAAATTATTGTTATCTGCCTGCCTGAACAAAATATGAATTGCCTGAAAGTGGGTCTTTTGTCTGCTCTGTATATCATGTACCAAGGACTTAAAACAGTGATGAGCAATTAAAATCAGTCATTACATTTCATTAAATAAAGAGATGAGTCTGTCTTATGTGAAGCCGATTTCTCTAGACAACATTTATTTCATACCGGTTTAGCTGACTTCTCTAGGCAGCATTTCTTTCATATCTTTTCCAAAAATATTTTTTCATTCCACTATACGCTTATGAGGGCCTCAACTTCTATTCAGCATGATGCTGCAGGCCAGAATACCTCAGGATTGTCGTTACTGATTTTCTTAACTAAGCTTGATATTTTTTTGGTAAGCACATCCTCATCCTCACACCTACCCCTGGTAACTCTGATCATCCTTCCCCAAACTTCCGTGGGCCCTAACAAGATTCCTCACAAATGAAAAACAAACAAGCACCAAAGCCTCACTGCCATGCAGTCAATTCAGATGCATAGATGCTTATAGGACGGGGTAGACATGCCCTGGAGGGTTTCTGAGACTCTAGCAATAGGAGTAGGAGGCCTCATCTTTCTCCCACGGAGCAACTGGTGATTTTGACCCACTGACCTTGTGGTTAGCAACCCCACATGTAATCACACCTCCTGGGCACAACGGCAAGATTTCTAGGACAGCACAAAGGTTGTGGCCTTGGTTCATCTGTATAGTTCTAAAAAGTAACCTTGAAAAATATTTGAGAGGACAGGAGGCAGAATCCACCTGAAAAGAGAGTTAATTTGAAAAAAGGGAGGAAAAGAATTTACATTCGCGAAACAAAGATAACTTTGGTATTTATTCATGGGCTTATTTGACAAGGATTTCCTTTAGATTTAACCTTTGATAGGTCTGCTTGTAGCAGGAGGCTTTAACCCTTGGGTCCAGTTCTCAGTCACTCCTGAAGGAAAGTAGCAGCTTCCCTAAAGATTTACAGCCTTGATCATGCGGCAGGGCAGATCTACTCTGGCCTCTAGGTTTACTGTGTTTTGTGTTTACGGCCTGAAAAGCCCTATCTGCATAACCAAGGGTGGGTACACAGTCAGGACTTACTGACGACCGAAAAGCAGGTCTTTTCTGAGCAATATGTGTGCCTTTTGAGGAACAGTTATAATCTCTAACTAAAATGTACTACGAGATCTTGAGCAACGCTGTTACAAGATGGTAAAGCTCTTGTTCCAGCCAACGCGTCTTGAGTGGAAAGTCCAGGGACAACCCCCACTGTCTCTAAGAGAACCATAAATCACACAAAGTAAAGAGAAGACAATGCCTCCGAGCATGGACGTGAGCCTCCTTCCATGTCTGTGGAGAACGAACTGCTTCTCTTAGAAACCTTAGCTCATTTAGAAGGTTGGATAACTGAAGAATCATTCTTGTCCATTTTCTTTTCCTCTCGCAGCACCTACTTCTTTGGGTTAATAAATTGTGCATTCCTTTTCATATACTCAAGAAATAGGAGCACTCAATATATACAACACTGGGTTTTAATTCTCTATCGGAGCTAGAGCATGACTTCAGTCATGTAGAACTCTTCCCTAGAACACATGTTTCACTATGTCCATGTGGTTTGGGATACATAACCCCTTATGATCAGCATCTTAGGCTACACAATGTACCCAATGATATGACTTGTCTCAGTGATGTCAAGATTGTTTATTAAATTCAATAATAATGATTTTTCCCTAAGCCCATGCTTTGGATTTCCTCTCATAACTGTGCCCCTACATAAGGTCTTATTTTAAACTTTTTTTCTTCTAACGTTAGGGTGTGTGGAACTCTCCCACTGCATCTTCCTAGAGAAGCTACAGACTTAGCCAAATGTGTTAACCACAGAGATGTTTTCTGGATTATCACTTGGAGACAGAATTCAATTAAAGCTACAAGTAGTATGAATTTAGTTCTTCATACGCTGTTTTGTTCTCATTTTTGAATTCAAAAACTCTCCGAACACACAACAAAACACCAATCCATATTATAATAGGCATACAATTACTGTCTCATGAGGTAGATAATGATAAGGACAACGTAGAAATGAACTCAGGGTTAGTACATAGAATTTGGGGGCTCTAGTAGCATAGAAGGTTACACACTGGTTGCGATTAGAATCGACCTGTCACACCAAGATAGCAAAATAAGACTTTCTGTTCCGTTCAAGATTTCCAGCCTCAGAAACCCAGGTGGGCAATTCTAGTCCATCCTGCAGCATCACTGTGAATCAGAGTGGACACAAGACAAGTGGATTTGGTTTGAAGTGTTTGCTTGGCCACAGTCAGGGAAAGAATCCTTACACGGCATCTAAGGAAAGCTAAACTTGGAGCCTTTAAATACTGATTTAAATTTTGAATAGATAAAATCTACTCATCAGAATTATAAAAATTAAAATGGAATTATTCTCGCTCTGTGTTAAGGTTTCAGGCTAAATTCAGTTCGATAAATGGGAGTGGCACACGGTATTGATTACTGTCTGTAGTATGAGAAGTACCCTGGTGATAGCAGGTTAAGCATTAGCTTGCTAGCCTCAAGATCAGCATTTCAAAACCACTGTGGGGAGAAAAAGTTTTCTATTCCAAGAACCACCTATCATCCCAGAAACCAGAAAAGGTCGTTTGCCTGGGTTGTATATGGTCACTATGACTCACAAGTAACTGGATGGCAGTGAGAGTACAATAAAGGTTTACAGGATGAGATGGCATTTGACTCATTGAGTGTTGTGTAAAACCAGATAGCGTGTATAATAAACAAACTGATCAAAAAATTTTCCATGGAGTGTCTTTTTTTTTTCTTCCTGTGAAGTGTCTTTCCACAAATTAAGGTCTCTAATGTAGTTTTATTTCATTTTATGCCAGCCTTTTCAATTAATGCTAAGAGTTTGCAGTTCAGCTGAAATTGCTTTCTAGTCACAGCTAACTTTTATTTATTCTTTAATTAGGGTTTCATCTTCACCATCCCTCCCCAACCACGCGCGACCATAAGCTAGAAGAAGATGAAATTCGAAAGCCATCAAAAACCATCATTCTTTTACATTTAATTTCTCAGTGAACTGTGTCCCAAAATGAAAACAGAAACCGAGCTCTAATAAATCCATACCATAGAAAATAAATGCAACATTATACTTTGATTAGTTATCAAATGGGCCATCAGGATGGAAAGCAACGTTTACATTTTTTTTTTAAATCAGTGTCTGTGATGATCTGGTGATCAAAGTGGTGAGCGGCAGGACTTTTAGGCTCCCTACAAATCCTCAGCACCCCAGCTTCCCCTGTTCATCAGCGGGGAGCACATAAGAGACTATCCACCGAGCTAATAGGGATCACCATGTAGACTCAGATTGTAGAGAATTCAACCTTTTCTCTCTCTCCCCTTTCTCTCCAAGGTGGTGGTGGGTGATGGAGGAAAATAGCATTTCTTTTTTATGTAAAACAAAGCGAAAACGCTACTAAACAAATGTTAAGATCTGTACACCGCCTGTAGCTATCGTACTTCATCGTTGATAAAATTAAAGTATAAAACAAGTCAGCCTTTGTGAGCCTTACCCACTCCAATATGGCCCGACTGTGACTTCCTCGGTACCCCCAAAGCCCAGGGCCGAGCCCCTGCGGCGGTGGCGAGCGAGGGGGTTCCCTGCGCTCTGCGACCAGCGGGCGCGGGTTCCGGGAGAGGAAGTTGGCGGGGCCCCATCCTGACCCCGGCGCTGTCCAGGCCAGCGGGCGGGCGGGCGGACGCTCCCGGTCCCAGACTGGAAGGAAGTCGAGGGATCTGGACCAACCGGGCTCGGGGGCGGAGGGAGTGGGAGAGCCCCGGGAAGATCCGCGGGGGAGAGGGGGGGGGGCAATCCACTCGGCGTCCACCGCGTGGCAGCCGAGGGCAGCGTCCCGGGTTTCCGATTGTCTCATTTGCGTGGCCCATACGCAAGAGAGAGGGCGAGAGCGAATCTACCACGTGGGACAAGTTTTCACGCATAAAAGGGACGTTCCTCTCCACGAGCCTCCAGTTGTCATAGAACGGACTTGCAGCGACCTTGAAGATACGCGCCGGAGCTGCTCCATAGAGCCTCCACCCATTCTGCATCCCGGAGCTCGTGAACTTGGACGTCTCGCCGGCCTGCCTCCCGCATCGCGCCCCGCGCCGCTCCCGCAGCCCAGATGCTCGCCCGCCTCCTGCTGCTCGGCGCCGCGCTGGCGCTCTGCCGTGCCAGTGAGTACCGGGGCTCCGCCTGGGCACCCGCTCCCACTCCCAGCCCCTTTCCCGTACCCCCGCCGTGCAAACGGCCCTGGACTTCGCACAGAGCTGGGACGTGGGGTCCGCAGTCATCTTGGAACAGTTGCTGAAGCTAAGTGGGAGCAGTGAGAGTCCTGTGCAGGTTGTCACGCTACAGGAGGGTCTGATACTTATCTGAACCTTTGTGCGCTGGTACCGACAGTTAATGAATGGTACCAACTGAAATATGATAGTTAGTGCTTTTCTATTCCCGTGTGCGTGTGTGTGTAAGGATACGTTTGAAAATTTTCCCAAATTTTTGTATTAAACTATCCATTTTAAGTTCAATACTTCCAAAATGCTCCCTTGGACTCCTAAAATGTTATTAAGAAAAAAGTTTCGTAGCATTTTTTCAGGTTAAGTGGGTTGCTGTTGAGTTGGAATAAAAAAACGGGAGCGTCTAAATCGTAATCCTTCTGTGGGACAGTTGGGGGACTGGGGATGTTGTCATATTAAACAAATGTTGAAATCAAGACCATTGAAGAATGATTTTTTTTCCTCTTATTTTGTTGTAGCAAATCCTTGTTGTTTCAACCCATGTCAAAACCGAGGTGTGTGTCTGACCACAGGATTTGACCGGTATGAATGTGATTGTACCCGGACAGGGTTCTATGGTGAAAATTGTTCAACACGTAAGTTGGTCCTTGAGTTTCTTTATTTTAAAGATAGCCACATAACACCTATTGTGTTCTAGGTCTGTGTCTTAAAATGGACTGTTAATCTCTCCCTTCTTTTTTTTCCCTTGTCTGCAGCTGAATTTCTGACAAGAATAAAATTATTACTGAAACCCACTCCAAACACAGTGCATTATATACTTACTCACTTCAAGGGCGTTTGGAACATTGTCAATAACATTCCCTTTGTGCGGAATGCCATCATGAGATATGTGTTGACCTGTAAGTAAAACTTTCTTTCAGCTTCCTAAATGAATAGTGTGCTCTACACGACTGCTGATTACTAAACTCTCTCTAAAAATGCATAACAACCTTGACAGGATGTTCATAAATATACACTTTCAGTGAGGCTTTTATGTAATGGCCAAAAAATATTACAATTTGAGTCTCATTTTATTTGTATAGCCTTGTCTCTACACCATAATTCTACCAGTCATTTCTGGAAATGTATCACCCATTTTTTAATGGCTATTTTTTTCAAATTAAAAATGAAAAGAAAAGAAAACTATATATATATCTATATATATATATGATTGCAAGACTGCTGTGTAAAAAATGTATATTATCAAAGATACACTGTAATGAGTCTATCTCTCCTCATTTTTTCATGAAAGTGGCAATTAAAGTATAGCTATATTTATATGTGCCATATTTGATCATTAAAATTGATTCAGTCTTTAGTGCCACTTTCCTATTTTCATTTTAAAATAAGAATAAACATTGATTTGTTATGTGTATGAGAACTCTTTGTTTTCTTTTAACTTTCAGCAAGATCACATTTGATTGATAGTCCACCAACTTATAATGTCCACTACGGCTACAAAAGCTGGGAAGCCTATTCCAACCTCTCCTATTACACCCGAGCCCTTCCTCCTGTGCCCCAAGACTGCCCCACTCCGATGGGGGTGAAGGGTAAGTTACAGGATGTGTTCATTGCTCTGGGCATCGGATTGCTGTCTCACAAAATCAGTCTCAGACCATCATTTACTTGTTAATCAAAGTATGTTTTCCCTTATTGTGAATACCTGGAAGAGATTTCATTTTAAAACCTGGATCTATATAAATTATTTCATGATAATGAGAGTGAGCATTTTGATATTTCTAATCCTTTAAAATGATTACATCAAATGATTACTAGTATTGGTTCAATAAAAGTAGATTATACAAGTCAATAATCAATTATCCCCTCATTGTCATAGAGCATTTTATTATAATCCTATTCACAGTTCCTCTGTAAATGAACAATGCTCTTGAAAATTGACATTCACGATCTGCTTCCTTGAATATCTGTTCTTACTGTATCTTTCTCATCTTTCAGGGAAGAAAGAGCTTCCTAACTCAAAAGAGGTTGTGGAAAAATTTCTTCTGAGAAGAAAGTTCATCCCTGATCCCCAGGGCACAAATATGATGTTTGCGTTCTTTGCCCAGCATTTCACTCATCAGTTTTTCAAGACAGATCATAAGCGAGGACCAGCTTTCACCAAAGGATTGGGCCATGGGGTAAGAACGTGTCAAATAAGAATTGTAGCATATCAAAGTGAAATACTAACATTAACTACAAAAATAAAAACAAGCCAAAAAAATTGTTTGCTGAGTGATTCATCCTTTTTTAAAAATAATTCACTATCTATAAAATTCCTTAATGGACTTTTCCAGTTTAATTAACTGATTTAGTTAGACATGTACATAGAAACAGAGATTATTATTATTACTACATTTAATTTGCATCTTATATTTTTAAGATATTCTTGCTGTCAAATGTTGTGACTTCAAAAACATTTTAGTTCCATGAGTGTATTGCTTTACATCCATAATAAGGTTTTTTGATATGCTATCTAGAAATACTGTGTAACTGCACAGAAGCACATATATGAGATATTAATACTATTGAACACAAACCATAGTTCTGTGGCTTCAGAGTATAATGTATTTTGTGATTATGATAAAATGTGTTTTATTAGAAAATGTAATTAAAACAAGCTAAGTCATCAAATTATTTAATGATAAATTATATTATAAACATTTTGTATGAGAAAAACTTCAGCAGTAACAAATTGAAATTTTTCCATGATTTTTTAGGTGGATTTAAATCATGTCTATGGTGAAACTCTGGATAGACAGCATAAACTGCGTCTTTTCAAGGATGGAAAATTGAGATATCAGGTAAATTCCATTAGAATGCTAAGAATTAGCTGTGACTCACTGCCCAATTTTATATTTTAGAATCATCAGTCATAAAATTTCCTTCCTAGCCGTTAAAAATTAAGGTTTGTTTATTACTTTTTTATTTTCAGATAATAGATGGAGAGATGTACCCTCCCACAGTCAAAGACACTCAGGCAGAGATGATCTATCCCCCTCATGTGCCGGAACACCTGCGCTTTGCTGTGGGCCAGGAAGTCTTTGGGCTGGTGCCTGGTCTGATGATGTATGCCATAATATGGCTTCGGGAACATAACAGGGTGTGCGACGTGCTGAAGCAGGAGCATCCAGAATGGGATGATGAACGGTTGTTCCAGACAAGCAGGCTAATACTGATAGGTAAGCAAAGGAGAAAATAATTTAAACCAAACCTTCTTGCCCTGAGAAAATCATTGTGCTATTCTTGTTATATTTGAGTAATTCTGGAGATATTAATATAGTCAAAGTTAAGTCCCTTGTACAGTATTTCCTTAAAACAGAAAGAAAAAAAGGTTTATATATATCCACATTTTCATTCTTGAGTTCATGGATAATGTCTTGACATTAAAAAGATAAATATAATCGTAGTAGAAGTGAATGAATATCAATTTAGCGAAATTATATTTCAGTTTCTTTAAAGCTTGTGATCAGAAAGGTTTACTGTTCGTTCCTTTTGTGCCATTAGGGGAGACTATTAAGATTGTGATTGAAGATTATGTGCAGCACCTGAGTGGCTATCACTTCAAGCTGAAGTTTGACCCAGAGCTGCTCTTCAACCAACAGTTCCAGTACCAAAATCGGATTGCTTCGGAGTTCAACACGCTCTATCACTGGCATCCTCTTTTGCCTGACACCTTCCAAATTAATAACCACGAGTACAGCTTTCAACAGTTTATGTACAACAATTCTGTGTTACTGGAGCATGGACTTACCCACTTAGTTGAATCATTCACCAAGCAAATTGCTGGCAGGGTAAGCATTATTATTGGAAAACAACTTTTTTTAGAATTTCTGCTTATTTTTAAAACTTACTAAAAGAGTAATTATTTATTTCTAACAAAATATTTTTTAAAAATAAGAAGCCTAACATCTTTTTGAAAAGTGTAGCCGACATTTTAGTGCATTCTTGCCAAAAAATGGCAATGAATGACTGTTCCTTAAAATTAGAAACTTTCAAAACTGTTCAATAATCTTACTATAAATATTTGAGATTTGAGTATCTTTTAACATTCATAAATTTTAAAAGGCAGAGTATTTCTAGACTAATGTCTCATTGATCTTTAAGGATAGCTTTCATTGAAATGCATGCAAGCATCTTTTCAAAAGAGAAAGATAACGTACTCTTACTGGGAACATCGGTATTACTTACTTTTATACCCAAGGAATGTTTTTAAATAGGAATTGTAAATTTGCATGAAGATCTTGTTTTGAAATGTAACTCATTCTCCACAGGTTGCTGGTGGCAGGAATGTTGCATCTGCGGTACAAAAAATATCTCAGGCATCTATTGACCAGAGCAGAGAGATGAAGTACCAGTCTTTTAATGAGTACCGCAAACACTTTATGATGAGGCCTTATTCGTCATTTGAAGACCTCACTGGTGAGAAGTAGTCTAAGCTTCTTAAAAGAATTCAAGTCAAATTGAAACAGCAGAGAAGTTGAAAGAAAATTGAGATAGAGGGTAAAACTTTTTTTTTAAGTATTACATTGATTGACTCTCTTTCCACCTTTATAGGAGAGAAGGAAATGGCTGCTGAGTTAGAGGCGCTCTATGGTGATATAGACGCTATGGAGCTGTATCCTGCTCTTTTGGTAGAAAAGCCTCGTCCAGATGCCATCTTTGGAGAGACCATGGTAGAGCTCGGAGCACCATTCTCCTTGAAAGGCCTCATGGGTAATCCAATATGTTCTCCTAACTACTGGAAGCCTAGTACTTTTGGTGGAGAAGTCGGTTTTGAAATCATCAACACGGCTTCAATCCAGTCTCTTATATGCAATAACGTGAAGGGCTGTCCCTATACTGCGTTCAATGTCCCAGATCAAGAGCTCACCAAAACACTCATCATGAATGCAAGCTCTTCCCACGCCAGACTAGGTGATATCAACCCTGCAGTGTTGCTAAAAGAACGGTCAACTGAACTCTAGACATCTGTGGATCATATTTATTTATTTATAGGAACTATTTCCTCTAATATAATTATTTAATAATATTTATAACTCCTCATGTTACATCTTCTGTAACAGAAATCAGTACTCCTCTTGTGGAGAAAGGGATCACATTTGTGAAAAATTTTCTGTGTTACTACTTTGAAGACTTATTCTCTTCATGACAGTTTGTGATATCATATGAACAAAAGCAAAGAGCAATAAGAGGAACGGCATAAGAACACTTAACAAAAGCTGTATTGTTAACCAGTCGTCAAAAGGCTTTTGCCCTTTTGATTTTTCTGATGTGTCTTCCATGATGCCTTAGAAGCCAGTTTTTGGAATACTGAAATGGTTCTAGACATTTATTTATTATCAAACAAATGAAAACAAAGGTACACATGCATTTTCAAATAAATTTCTAAATCAGACATTAGCAATTATTTCATGCAAATGTTTTAGAGCAATATTATAACTATATGAAATTTCTAAGTTCACAGGGTAGAATCACTTTTGAAAACTGGTTTATTTCTTATACTAAATTATACTACTGCCATTAGTAAAATGAGCTGTCCTAAATCTGAAGCTATAAAATTAGTTCAAATTAGTGAATATGACATTACATAAGAGATAATTGCTCTTTTGTTAGGAGTGAAAAGCTATTTATGTAATTCATTGTCACAACTTCTGTTTAATAATATCAAAATGCCAAGTGTATTAAGGTGGTGAAGACATTGCATACATTAATTTATTATGCCTTGAATAAAGCCATTCACTATGTGCCTTGGAGCCAAGTCTGATGATCTGAATGCTGCTCCTTTTAGTTTCTTTTAGCCAGTTTGTTAAGAGAAACTCTATTCTGATCATTTTACTTCTTTTGCTTAGTTTTATGGAGACTAGTGGCCTCCTGGTTTAGTGGATTACACATTGGGCTGCTAATTGCAAGTCATTGTTTCAAACTTGCCAGTAGCTCCGGGACAAATTGAGTCTTTCTGCTCCCATAAAGATCGATAGTCCCAGAAACCCACAGGGATAGTTCCACCTTGTCCTACAGGGACACTATGAGTTGGAAACCACTTGATGGTTTAAGTGAATTGGTTTTTGGGTGTGCTTTTCTTAGTTTTCAAATCAAAGTTAGTCTCTCTTTGGACTATCTACCTATATTTCCTTTCATAAACTTTTGGAAATGTTCAGGGAAACCTCAGCTCAGGACTACTATTCAATGCTTTTTAAGATGACAAAGTCCCTGGGTTATGCAAAGTGTTAAATCACTTGCCTTCTAACCAAAAGGTTGGCAGTTCAAGCCTACCTAGAAGTACCTCAAAAGAAAGGCCTGGTGATTTACTTCCAAGATGTCAACCCTTCAAAGCCCCACAAAGTACAGTTCTACTCTGACACCCATGGTTCACCATGAATTGGAACCAACTTGCTTTTTTGGTTAAGATCACAAAAAGAAGAAACTGTCTCTTAGAAAGACATTAGAATGTTAGCTTGCTTTAACTTAAAGATAGAGAATGTTGCTTACAAGTACATTTTAACTATCTGTAACCAAAGAACTTAGTGTCCTAAGAAAGAAACTGTAGGACCTCATTATAGGGAGGAAATTACATTTGTATTCTAACGAATGCCCTTTATTGTTTAAAAAAATAACAACAATAAGACTTCTGAGCAGATAAGAGCAAGTAGGTATTTTTTCTCTATATCTCATTGTCAGCTGACATTTTTCTTGTACTGTATATTAATTTATTGAAAGTGATTATTTATATTTCAATCAGTTGTGATGTTATAAACTGTGTCTAAGCCTACAATCGTTGATCATTTCAATTATGTCAAAATCAGTATTTCCATGTTAACAATCAAAAGAAATGATTGAATTAAGGTTTGTGAATTAATTATTCCAAGTCTCAGCTTTAGTATGATGAAATAATTAAAGGTTTACCTATCCACCAGTTCACAAGGAGGATTATGTTTCATTAGCCTGATTGTGCCGTAAGAGTGACCTTTTAGAAATTCTTTGAAGAACATGTGGCTTCTTCACTAATTCATTCAACCATAATTTACCAGGGAAATAGTCTGTATGAAGTGTTGTGGGTTTTAGTAATTTTTGAATCAAGTGTTAATTGTAGATAAAATCAGTGTTTGTGTGAATACCAGGGAAATTGTGTGTCTGGGAAATGGGAAAATAAGTTGTCATTGGAGACAAATAACTCAGGGGAATTTTTCTTTAAGATTTTATTTTTAACAAGTTCAATGTTAAAAAAAAGTAGTAGTCAATTGTAGAAGTGCTACTATAGAAAATTGTAACTTTGCTGATCTTCAAAGAAGGGCATTGGGATTGTTTTTAACATCAACCTGCTGACTGAACCTAGAAATTTTGGGATCTATATGTGAATGCTTTGGTGCCTCAGACGAATGTGTATTTAAATTAACTTAAATGAAAAGAAATCTTGAAATGAATTTCTGTATATTTTTATACTATTTAAGAATTGAAAAATCTTTTCAAAATAAATTTTGATCATCTCTATATACCTTTGTCTTTGATTATAATTTCTTTGATACATTGCTCTTATAGGAAACTGTTGATTTGTGTTCTCCTATCGATTAAAAACTATACTGGCTCTTTGGTGCCTCCTTCCCCCCACTATCATGACCTCAATTCTACTTTACAAATTGGATTAGACCAGAGCATGCACACTGTTACAGACAAGGCCCGCAACACAGGGAATCCAGGATAGATAAACCCCTCAGGGCCGACAAGGAGAGTAGAGATACCAGGAGGATTAGGGGAGGGTGGGAGGAGAAAAGGGGACTAGATCACAAGGATCAATGTAGAACCCCCTCCTGGGGGACGAATAATGGAAAAATGGGTGAGGGGTGACGGAGGACTATGTAAGATATGGAAAAAATAATCTATAACTTATCAAGGGTTCATGAGGAAAGGAGGGCAGGGGGGAGGGGGAAGAAATGGGGTGCTTCTATCAGGGGCTCAAGTGGGAAGAGAATGCTTTGAAAATGATGATGGCAGCACATGTGCAAATGTGTTTGACGCATTGGAGGAGTGTATGGATTGTGATAAGAGATGTAAGAGGCCTCAATAAAAGTATTTAAAAAAAACAAGACAAAACTATACTGGCCCTTAATGAAATGTCTCTACTCTCCTTCAGAGAGAGGTTTCTTAGGCCTATTAATTTATAACATCTTATTCATTGAAACATTGGGTTAGAAAATGGTGTTGTTTGTGCTATGTATGATAGTAAGAAGAGCGAGCTCATTGCCTAATCTAGATGGCTAGTGGAGTGGGAAAAATCAAATACATCAAACAAAAAATAAAACTTTATTTTATTTTCATTTAAAATAATGAGAGATTCAATCTTTTGTTTTCTTTTTGTTTTTTCTCCATTAGTGTTGGTTTACCTACCTACATAAGATAGGCATGAGAAGCAAGCCCGAGGAGAAAGCAATGGGACCAAAGGTTACGCAGGGACTTGGGGGGAAGAGGAAGTAGAGGAAGGGAGTGGTGAGCAAACAACACCATAGCCATGGACAGGGGAACAACTAGGGAATTAAAATCAACAACCAGGAGGACATAGAGATCCTGCTGTTGTTGGAACCACAGCAGTCTAGCTGAGAGGAATCCCTGAGAAGCAGAAGAAGGGCGAGTGTGATGGTGGGGCAGGAGGAAGGTAAAAGGAAACAGATCTAGGAAGCAAACTATGGATGGAGGTATAAACATAGTTGCTTACATAAGTAAATACATTAATTCATAAAAATAGAGGTATTGGGCTATGTACATATATTTATACATAAATATACTGAAATAGTGGACAGACTTCGGGCCTCTGCTCAAGCTCTCTCTCAGTGCAAGAACCCTTTGTTCAAGCAACCTGGCATTCTGTGATGTTCACCCTTCCAACAGTGCTGAAGACAAATGGGTGCATAAGCAATTGTAGTGAAGAAAGCGGATGGTGCCCAGCTATTAAAAGATAGAGTGTCTGGGTTCTTAAAGGCTTAAAGTTTAACAAGCGGCCATTTGGCAGAGAAGCCGCAAGACCACAGGGAATAAGCACACCAGCCTGTGTGATTATGAGGTGTCAACGAAATCAAGTAACAGGCAACAGAAGACCCAAAACAAACAAACAAAAAATATATTGCTGAGAACAAAGCGGGTCAGAGCAGAGATCCAAAGCCCATCTGTAGACAATGGGACATGCCCTCACTAAAGGGTCACAGGGAAGGGATGAGTCAACCAGGGCACAGTGTAGCACCAACGAAACACACAATATTCCACTGGTTCTGTGAGGCTTCCTCCCCCTCACTATCATGACCCCAGTCCTGCCTTTCCCTTTGGGTTAGACTGGGATGTGTATACTGGTACAGATAAGACTCATGACACCCCGAATCCAGGTCAGATAAACCCCTCAGGAACACAAATGGGACTAGCCATCCCAGGGGGGTAGGGGGAAGTTGGAGAGCGGAGGGGAGGAAGGTGGACACCAATCTCAATGATTGACACAGAACCAGCCACACACCACCCCTCCCCCGCCCCCACCATAGCAGGACAAATAACAGAAACTGTGGGGGAAGGGAGACAGCAGTGAATGCAAGATATGAAAATAATAATAATTTTATCACTGTGTCACAAGGGTGCAAGAGTGGAATGGAGGGAAGAAAGAGGAACAGATACCAAGGGCCCAAAAAGTAACTGTTTAGAAAATGATGATGGCAACATATGTACAAATATGCCTGATAAAATTGATGTATGGATTGTTACAAGAGCTGTAAGAATGCCAAATAAAATGATCTTTTAAATAAATATAAAATGACAGATTATATTTAGGTAAATCATTGATGACATGTACCTCACTAACTGTCTCCTAATATGCACCTACTCTTGTCATCTTGGTAATTTCAGCATCCACATATATAACACCCTTTCTCGCCTCTTTATTCCTGAACTTTCTCCATTGCAATGATGCCTATCTCCTGCTGCATTTCCCATGGTG